TAGATAGATAGATAGAGAGACAGACAGACAGACAGACAGACAGACAGACAGACAGACAGACAGACAGATAGATAGATAGATAGATAGATAGATAGATAGATAGATAGATAGATAGATAGATAGATAGATAGATACCATCTTACAAAACTGCAGTTCCATAAATAGCCATAAATAGCCTTCATATAGTGCAACCTGATGTTGCCTAAACATTGCCTATTTATTGATTGTTAATATATACGCACACATATAATTAGATTAAATGTCTGAAGCCTTTTAAGTTCAATCTTATCACCATGTTTTTAGAAATTTATCATTCTAAGTTGCAGCAAAACATATTTTGATCCTAGTTGTGGCTTTAATCTGATGTAATTCTGCTTAAAATAAAACCTTACATGATTTAAATGGTAATTAAATTCAACAAATAGAAAACTCTTAGGTCTTAGGCCCAAAACTGAGATTACTGGCTGATACAAACAATATAAAGCTCTTCGGGTTGCTATTCTACAAGAAAAACACCTTTAAAAGCCATGATATCAGCTGCTATGATGAGTACTTTGTAATGTTTCTGACATTTGACTGCCTAAACAGAACAAGGTTGTTTTATATGACAGATCTGTGCTCAATTTTCATAAAGGCGTTTTAATCTCCTGTATGGAGTGAATTTTGTTCAAAAATGTCAAATGCAAAAACATACATTTACTTATATTTTTAAATGGAAATTTGAAAAAAAAAATGCAATTCATAAATGAAATGTTGAAAACCACATAATCGAAAAAGGTTTAAAGAGTGACTGTTGTTTCCTCATGTTCCACATCCAGCACCACTTCTCACACTTCTCAACTATAGCTGAATATAATCTGTAAATCTATTATCTGCTATTATCTGTCATTACTTATCCAGTATTATAACCCCATTATTATATATAGTCCATATCCTATTTTCCTGTATAATCTGCATATAGTTATTCATATTTATTTTTTTTATAGCCTCTTACAAAAATCTCTGCTTATATATATATATATATATATATATATATATATATATATATCTCATTTATAGTCCACACATACATAGTTTCTGTACACATGTAAATAAGTATTTATATCCTGTATAGAACTTCTGGATTAATGCAAACTACATTTCGTTGATTTGTACTTGTGACAGTGTAATGACAATAAAGTTGTATTCTATTGTATTCTTTTGGGTTTTCTTTTATTCTTTTCATGCTAAATTTGTTCTATTTTCTTTTTTATTTTGATTTAAATTCTCTTCACTTCAAGGCCAATACAAACCTCACTCTTAATGTACACATTAACTAATAAAAAATGCTTTTGCTAACATACAGGGTTGCCCTGATATAAGCAATATGCACATCTTTATAACCTGACAGGTGCATAATAGAAAAACAATCAAGATTTAAAGAGGACTCACGTACACTGTTCTATATGCAGACATACAGTAAGACATTTATTTGCAACATTGCTTGAATACGTCTCTCTGTACCCCACAGGAGGGACCCATCTAAGACCTACAGAGAATCTGATCTGTAAATCCCAATTCAAAAAGAATAAAATTTTGAATAATAACTTCCATCAAAGTTTCATTTCTGGATAGCATTTTTGCTTGCATCAATAATAGAACAAAATTCCCCTGCATACTCACATACAGTAGGCCATGAGACTAAAAGCACTAATTAAATTTCAGAAAGAGGAAATGACAACAAGGTCTATTGGAGGAGTCTTTCGTACAAAGGGCCAGATAATGAAAACAGACCGATCTTATTGGTCTACTCATTGCTGACTCAGCCTCTCTTTTGTCAAACTAAAAACATTAATTATCCATTTTTATCGGTCAGCTATTATAATTCCTGTGGTGGATCAAACAAAACAAAACAGCCCCTAAACTTGGCTGTAGGAAGCACAAGGGCCAGGCAGATCTCAGTGATATCTCCTTCCACATAAACACTGAGAACATTCAACTTTCACAGAAAATCACTTCATTGTGTCAGTGCCAATACTTGAAAATGTATTTTTAATGAAGGAAATGGGATTTTTGTTTGCCTAGAAAAGCAGAAAAGGGATATTTAAGGCTATTAGAAGAAATTTAATGGACAACTTAAGAAAATCTAATAATCTATATATCAATTACTATTAATATGTAATATACAGTGCAGTTGACCTCAATTTTTTTTTACTTTCAATTAAGGTTAAATGTTGTCTTAAAAGTTAAGCAATTTGTTTCTTCTGACTAAATGTAATATTGATGTTTCCTAGTGGCCCAGCCAGACTCTAGACTTGATTCTGGGCAAGAACCAGTTCAACTTTTTAACCATCATGTTTTCTGAATTAAATGTGAGTGAAACAGCAATTTATATTAAAATTGATCATCCTTTTACAGTGTTCTGTCAGATCCTTTATGAAGCCAACTCCTTCCTTAAATGAAAGCAATTTAATATCTATAGGGTATAACAATGTTGAGTTTTATTATAATTTTATATAAAATCTCTGTAGAAAGAAGCTGAGCTTCCTGTCCTGTGGTGGAGGTGGTTGAATGAAGAAATTACAATACATGGAGCCTAAATGGTAAATTAACTAAATTCATATAGCACTTTTCTAGTCATACTGACCATTTAAAGCGCTTTACTCTATATCCACATTTATCAAGCCCACTAACCCACACAAATTCTTACACCAATACACACTCCTGTCATATATTAATATAATGCTTGTAGGAGCCAAACTCTTGCAATGTGCATACACTTCTCACTTCACAAGCATGTGTTGGGAATGTCATTGCTTGGCAGTGAGTGGCGTTATTGGTTGAGGAAGTCTGTCAAATATTATAGACATTATATTTAACAACTATTGAGTGGAGCTTTATTGAATTTTACAAGATGGAACAATGTTATCCCACTTAATCAGAAATGGATTGTTTGCTTTATGATACAGAATGTCTATCGAACCCATGTAATTAAATTACTGTGATGGAGTGCTAACCTAACCAGTGTGTTTTTATCAAAGTACCCCTCTAGGAAGGGAAAAAGATTCCTGGTACCATGTGATAAAAAATAAGCAATGATAGAAGATGCATGGTCAAAGCTTGAAATGCATGTCTCTAAATTAATTTGTGCATCTGTTACTTTGGTTTCGTATTTCTTTTTTTATGTGCAGGGGGTGGACATGTAGACTTTGAGGATTTTTGTGAGTTAATGGGGCCACGAATGCTGGCTGAGACAGCTCATATGGTCGGACTGAAAGAGCTCCGCTCTGCCTTCAAACAGGTGAGGGTACCCTTCTCAAAACGTATGACTTTGAGTAGACTGGGTCCTGATCCGACAGAAGGTTAATCTAGGAGATGGACCTCTATTATGAAAGCACCAGGAATGTAAAGAAGTCTGTAAGAGCAGGGATGACAGAGTGGAAACAGAACAATGGAGAAACAAAAGCCTCTCAGAAGAGATGGAAGACATTTGGGGAAATTTCTTTCTAGCAGAGCAGCATTGTTTATTTAATTCTCTATGTAGGAAAAAAATGTAATGGTTTTTTTATAGAAAATATTTTACAAGATAGACAAAGATTTGTTGATTAAAGTCTAAACTGAAAACCAAGCAATTGCACTTGGAGAATATCAGAGGCACATCTGGTTTCCATTGAATCTGTTACTCAATGCAACACATTTTGTTTTAACAGGTTCTTAAGTCACTGTCTTCAACTGTACATAATGCTGCTTTATGAAAAAATCATAAGAGCACATGGCTGCATGTGAATCCATATGTCGTTTAAAAAAAACAACACGTAACTTCACACATCTGCATCTAAAACAGTGCAAAACTCTTCTCTCTGTCAGAAGAAGAATGTTTCACAAGCATTTTTAGATGTCATATCCCTGCCTTAGTTTTGAACAAACTGTTTCAATATCCCTTGGTTTAAAAATGGTTCTTATTCCTCCAGACATATCACCTTTAACTCTCCTCACCTCTTACACAGCTGTCTTTTTATCCTTTTACATCATGACCATGTCCCCAATTCCCCACTGTCGGTGAAAATGGCAGTTCGACTGTGACGGAGACGGAAAGATCACACTGGAGGAACTGAAGGAGGGCATGAAGACCCTCCTCGGGGAGAAGCTGAAAAAAGGAGAATTGGAGGAGATCCTCGGCGATATTGACCTCAACAAAGATGGCAGCATCGACTTTGATGGTGAGAGAATAGCAGAAAGAGAGAGCTGTCAGTAGTGGCTTTGAAAAAGAAAAAATTAAGCATCTTTACAGAATGTTGAACAGATTGCTCTCCAACTGCCACACGTATGCCTTAAAATCCATCTGAAATTGAAAATAAAATAAAGCACTAATATGAAAGAAAATCTTAGCAGAGACGTAATTATAGTCAAAGTCATTTTCTATTCTCATGTTTTATACTTCTAATGGATCTTAATCAAATCATTATAAAAATAAATCTTAAAACGCCCAACCTTGGCTTTGAGAGTAGGTGACCAGTAATACTAATCTGACTACAACGTAGTTAATTCTGTTCTGAAAAAATATAAAATTGTACATTTTTTGTTTTACATGCAGAGTAAAACTACCACTGTATGTCTCCCAGAAAATACCGACCCCATGATGTCAAACAGTGAGGGGAGCATTATGGTGAGGGGACGAGTTTCTTTAGAAGGTACAGGGAGAACAATCTGGGTTCATGTGAAGATCAGTGGTGCTAAACATGGAGCAAACCTAGAAAGGAAAATCCTATTAGAAGATGCAAAATAATTAAAACCAAGTCGGAGGGTCGCTTTGAACAGGAAACCATATAAATAACAGCAACAAAAAGAATAATTATAGATGTTAGTGTAATTTAAGTCTGGACCTAAATCTGATAAATGGCCAAAAGAAGAAAAAAAAGAAGCTAATTTTCTCAACTGATCTGGGTGAGATTTGGTTACTTTGCAAAAAACCTCCAAATGAAATGAAATTAAATGGAATATATTTCAGAAAATGTAAAAAACATTAAAAAAATCAACTTCAAAAGAATATTTAAAATGAACAAACAACCAAATACACACAAAAAGAGAGTGGTTTGCATCAAACCAAACTAAACCCCAATTTCCAAAGAATTGGAGCTTTAACTTTAGTTAAATAAAGGATTAAAATAAATAATATTTTTTCAATGAACAATTATTCATCAATTTCCGTTGCTGTATCACAAACCTTTTCTGTAAATACCATTTAGTTGAATGAGAGTAGCCTGGATAAAATCTACGTGTATGAACACCTGAGCATGGCATTGCAGCTGTTTTGTAAGAGCTTTTTTTCTCCTGAATTTTATCAATTAAAGAACAAATTATTGTTTTCATTCAACACTGATAAAAACTCTTTGCTGACCTCATTTTTTGTCAGATGATCTTTCTTCTAGTCAGCCTTAGAAAACTAAACTATTGTGATCTTTGTTTAGAGTGCCAATAAAGACGTCTTTTGTGCCTTTTCCTCTTGGTTTATCTTCAATTAAATGTAGAGTTTTAGAGTAATAACTTGATGAATAGATTTGAATAGTGCTATATGATCCTTTGAAGGGATCTGGAAAAAGACGAGCTAGTGGAAGGTCAGGGCAATACGTTTAGGATGAAGGAGACAGAGCATCAAAATGTAAATAAAGTGGAAAAATGTCAACATGGGAAAGTATAGATGATTCAGTCATGGTGGGCAGCTTGAAGGGTCAGTCCAGATTAAAAAGGGGAATATTAAGATCTCAAAGCTTACTGTCACATGCTACACAGATGAGAGGACACAGATGTCAGGTCAGGTCGAAGACAAATATTTCCTCCTAATGTTTGCATCTGGTAACATCAACAATAGCATGAGCTAAGCATATGGGTAAGGGGCTGAGGAAACCCCTTTTGGATTGGTGGACAAGTAAATTCAAACACTTAGGTATGCTTACCAAATGTGTAAGGGGTTCAGGAAACAAGGCACTTTTATAACAGCCTTAGACTGTTCATTTTCCAGTCTATCAGCAGCAGGGGAAAAGTGCTATAACAAATTTACTTATGTGAGAAAATTATCTTTATTAAATTTTACATGTCATCAGTTCTTCTCAGATGACCACTGTCTCTGTTTCCCTTGCAGAGTTTGTGATGATGCTCTCTGCGCGGTGACCTCTGATGAAAAGAGAAGCTGATCGATCAAAAATTCATTTACGACGAGGTCCACTTCCTCCCAGTTTGATTTGAAGCTTTATGTGTTAAGAAAAAACATGGAGTTTTAGGCATCTATGAACACAATCAGAAGATTAGGTTGAGTAAGTGCAGTGAGTTATACAATCAAAAGCAAAATGCTGTAAGGTTGCCCCCATGTGGGCAACAAATGCACAGCTTCAAAGGAGAAAAAAAAAAAGTTTAAAAAGTTTGTTTTTGCATTTTTTTGGTGAACAAATTTTCTATTTTTCCACTTTCCTTGCATGTATGAACTGTTTTGATGTATGACTTTAATCTAATGTCTCCTAATAAAGATATAAAGACATTAATAATAAGAATCCACTGGGGTTCATGTTTGAAAAAAAGTGCATTTATTGTTGAAAAATGATAACTTAAAACATTTTAGCAAAAAGCAAGATCTGTCTGAAAAGGCTTTGTACAAATGATTTACATTAAACACCATTAACTTAATATATATATATAGAGAGATTTTTTTATTCTTTTTCTCACAAATTTGTTTATATTATGACATAAAAGCTTGAGAAAAAAAATAAAAAGCATTCATGCTGTGGTGAAAATAGGGAATGGTAACCAAGCTATTGCATAAAGGTAAAGATGTATGGTGTAAGGCAAATGTAGCTCCTCCCCCTACCGAAGCCTCCTCGCTTTCCAAGCACTCAGCAGCATTTAATGAAGGTTTACATACAATTCTTTCATGTATACTTATGTTTGTTTGTTTGGTTAAATTACTTCCAGATTCCCCATTTATTCATAGAATATTTTCAAAGTGATGATTAACACACTTGTAATCAAACAGGAGGAATTTTCGGGGGGAACCAAAATGTAAACAATAATTGTGACAACTCCCACTTAAGAGCAACACCACAGATTCCAAATTTAGAGTTTATTATACGGGTATTGTGTTTATAATTACATTGATTTAAATTATCATCTTTATAATTTTAGTAATTGTGTTTAGCTGATCCTTTTTGCTGTTGGAAGCACATCTAGTCTAGCATTTCCTCTCCCCCCTTTAATAATTTATCTGTGCAGCAGGAGTAATGTCCGATTTTCCTTTTTTTTTTTGTACTTTTTATTAACACAATCTTCCAGCCACACTGTATGGGATCCAGACTTACAATGTTTGCCAAAGCTGTCAGGAAAAACAACTAAAAAGAGCAGAGCAGAAGGTAACTGCTCGGATTCACATTGGAAAACTTTGGGAGCACACTCAAACAAAACTGGAAGAAACTCTGAAGTAAAACAAACATAACATGGGAAAAAAAAAAAACACAGACGACCTCATTCTGTGAACACGTAGGTCCTTTGCTACACTGGCGCAGCAATGGAAGTTTGTGCGTGTTAAGCGTGTGAAATAAGATAGCGACAACTTGAAGGGAGTAATACTTTCATCAGTGCTGGGAACGCAGACGGCAAACTGTAGATGCACTTGAGTTTGCACACATTTCTCCTCACAAAGGCTCCTCTGATGACATAATGAAGCCTTTATATGACAAATTTAAAGTGAGGTATAACAGTGTAATTACCTTTCTATTATTTTTCCAACTTTCAGCATTTGGGATTCTGTTTCCCCCTCCTAAGGATTAAAATGAATTGCATGGCCGTTCTTTACTCATCTAAAAAATAGACTTTCACCTCATTTATTCCAATTATTAAAAAAAAATGAAATAAAACCCAGCGTCCAAACAGAAATACTACTCTTGCTGTCTTCATCTGGTTAAATAGCTTCTTCTTTCCACCTTTATGGAAGATCTGATAAGAACTGCATCAAGAATGAAAACCGATGCAAATATTTGCATCACCTTTCTTTCATTTTTTTTTTTACTTTTTTTTTCATAGCAAAAAGTGCATCCCTGAGGTGGTTTGGCCATATGTCTGTTTTTATTGATGGACACTGAGGGTTTCTCACAGAACCTTTATGATTTTATTACAGAATAGTAAATGAGGGGTTTTGTGCTGTAAAAAGAAAAACAATGAAGCCAGCTGGTAGTTGAGGATGTAGATTGTTGAGATGCTGATGAATGTTTGCCTAAAAGTTACATTTTAAGTCCAGATGTTTGTTGTGGAGAACTCAAAAAAAGGTTTCTAAAAAAAATGGACTTCAGTTTCTGTAGTTAAAAAAATAAAAACTACAATAGCAACAACCTGAAGTCCACTATTTTTATTTATTTATTTATTTTTTCTTTTAAACCTTTTTTGGAGTTCCTAAGTCCTGGATGATTGAGAATGCTCCCCGACATGAGGTGGGGAAGCTCTTAATTGTTGGGGATGCTCTGCAGATATGTGAGGATGTGCTGGATCTTCACTAGGCGATCTTTGAGGCTGGTCATAGAGAGGACAGAGAGCTGGTACCGAGGGTCGATGGGCAGAACGGCCAACAGCCACCAGCAGCAAGCAGGACCATTTGGAGTTGCCTGGAAAAGAGAGGACAAAAAAATTCAGATACGTTAAATAATTTAACTTTCTAGAAACATTTCTAACTAGCTGACCGTACTAAAACTGAAATATTTTATTTAGACACAACTTCTGCTCTTCTTTTCTCATGTCCAGAAAACCACACAGGTTTGGTGAGGGAAGACTTCAACATAGACAATACAACTGTAGGTTAGTGTGGACTCTGTAAATGAGTGAAGAATAATCATCCTTCATTTCAGGCGATCAGTCCATACATGTGAAACATGTGCAGTTAAGGTTTTAACTGGTACTCCGATCAATTGATCAACAAGAAAACTGCATCTCCAGTTTTCACCAATCATGAAGTGATTGAATTAAGTCAGAGTGCAAAAGGCTATAACATGTAGAAATCTCTGTTAAGGCTGTGTGAGTCAGATCATGGAGATTTGAGTTAAAAGATTTCTAAAGAAAAATGAAAGGCTTCACTTTTCTTATGTTGGCTCATAGATAGAAATCAGAAGCAAAGTTTTTGCATTAACCAGCAACAGTAAACTGACCATAGAGCTCTGTTGCAGCTTGATAATTAGGTTTTCAAATCTTAACAGAAGTCATTAAGTCTTACTGCAGCTCAGGGACAAACTGGTACAGATTTCATATTAAAGTGGCTGCACTCATCTGCCATAACATGACAAAGCCAGAATGAAATCCAGTCATCCACAACACCATCTCACGCTGATCTTAAATTACATGAGCATAGATTTTTGATTGAACTCTTATCTGGTATTATGGAAGCAGAAATATTATTTTAGCCCTAGCATGCCTTGTGTTCAGGGAGCTGCAGTTATATAAGTTTAGATTTAATGAAGTGATGAGCCCTACGACTGTGGGATGAGTTAACACTGGACAGACTGTTCCCGTAATCTGCAGCAGGAATGCCTTGCTGTGTCAGAGTACCAGAGATAAAAACAACTAATGACTACTTCTCTGTGATCCTGAGTTACAAAAGGTGCCCCACACACATTCATAGCGCATACACATTTTACCATCACACCATCTGAAAGGATTTCAGCTCATTATAAACTCAGATTACACAACCAGCACCAAAACCCACTGTCCTTATTCTGCTTTTTTAGTAAATCTGTGTATGTAGAGCTGGGGAATCTTTCCACGACACCTTTGTGATGCAACACGGCCAGAGAGATTAGCCATGAAGCACCCATTAAGCTCTTTAGCCCACATTGTCAAAAGACTCTGCAATGGTTGTCCAAAGAAAGGAGCTGTAATCCCAGTGGGCGCTCAGAGTAAAGCTGGAGTCAGAGTGCAACACAAACAAAACGGCATTCTTCAGACCTTCTGAATATGTGCCGATATGAGCTTAACCAAAAGGCCCTGCGTCACGAGATGATTCAATCCCGGAGGAGAAACTGAGGGATAGTGTGTTCTGTATTGGGATCCAAAAGCTTTACAAACCTGAAGGCCTTCCTACTGATTCCAATTAATACATTAAAAATATTCACTGCTTCATGATGAGTTTTCGCCTAAACCAACCAGTTAGCGAAGCAAAAAATTAACCCACTAAATGAGTGCAGAGTTGTTATAATAGTAAAAGCTAAACCTGATACCACCTCTTTAGTGTGATCACTGTTTTTACTCCGTCTCCATGCAAAGAGGAAGGACTGTACCTGGATGTCCGGTTCCCGCTCTGGCATTGGTCCAAAGTGCTGCAGGATCTGGTTGTGGAAGCGGATCTTGAGGTTTTGGAACCAGACCTGGGCCTGTTCATAAACTGCATCGTGGAGCTCTTGTAATTTTTCAAGTTCTTCCATGTTGTTCACCTGAGAGGTAAAAAAAAATAAAAAATAAAAAATAGAGAAATGGATACAACTGCCTCCTTAATACTGGATGCATTTAATGGATATTTGCTAATTCAGCAGACTGGCTTTTATGAACAAACCTTAACAAAATATACTCATATTAAAAGTGCATTTTCTTCCTCTAATAAAGGAGAGAAGTAAAGCATGTTTGAATCCTGAGCCATTAGCAACAAAATTAGTGCTTTGATGCATTGAAAACTGCCTTCAGGACAATGCGAGTTCTTTGAATCACAGCCTTCAGTAATGAAACACATTCTACATCAGTCAGGTGAGCACATTTCAATATGGCTGCTTAGGGAGGACAGAGCCTTCTAATGAAGCTGATCTGCTTTTCTTAAAGAAAACATTTAAATGCTTTGAAGGAATTGACTCTAACCCTGTTAGAATTGATGTGACTATAATTTAAATGTTTACTAGTGCATGAACTTCAGCAGACATGAAGCCCTGTGTTTTAGCAGACATCTGGCCCCAGATGATAAAAAATATATTTCTTCAGCCAGCTATCTTTTAAATGCTTTAAAGCATTATTTTTGAAAAATGAAAATGTTTTTATTTTCACTGGTACCAAGTTATCCTTTGTTAAGGTGTTAATGGTGGCTTACAATTGTTAAAAAGGCTGATTTCTTAGTCCACTTAAAACATCCTTTTTATGGCCTTGTCTTTTCCTTAATAAGGCAACTAAAGTTTCCTTTTAGTTCCCCCTTATAGTTTATCCAGACATGTAGGAAAACGTCTAATAATTTCCCTGAATTCTGCTTCACAAATGATCAAATTCATCAGGTAAATGAAACGTGTACTTCATTAACCATGTGGGGGATTTTTTTCCTTCTGTTGTAATAAAATCATCCTATAGACAGCAGTAATACTAGATGAGGAATTGAACCACTTTGTGATTGAGGCATTTTTCTGGTCCTGGACTCCATTTTCCAGATTTCTCAATCTTTTTAAAAACTTATTTTATCTTAAAAAAAGGGAAACTTACAAATGCATTTCTGTTATTCCTACAGGATTCAAGCTTCGATATAAAACCTGTAAATCCCAGAGGGGGTGGACGGAGACTACCTTTAGTGAATCAAAAACTAAATTCAGTTTTAAAAGACTGTTAACTTTCCAAAACTATTTCTTTTTTAAATATATCCAGATTTGGAAAATCATTAAAAACATTTTTGATTTTCTAGACTGAAATTGAAGCCTTTATAATGAACTGCAAAAAAAGTTTCAAGCAGAACAACCCAAACAAAACCTTGGAATGATCAGTGTGCCTCTTACCCTGGTGTCCTCCAGATACTCGATGTCTGCCGTGTTGTAACCATCCTTCATTCCTCTAGAAAGAACCCGGAAGCGTTTTCCTCCAATGGTATCAACCACAGAACGACCGTCGGGGAGGAAATGGACGCTCCTGACAATCAGCATGCAGCCATAATCTGCAAACCTTCAAACATGGACACAGCACTTTGTTATTCACAGCTACCCCTATGTATTCAGTGGTTCAAAGCTTAATGAGAGTTGATGCTCAGACAGAAACAGGAGCAGGTTTACCCTTTCTGAGGATCACTAATGCACATCCCAAACTGCCGAGTGCCTGTATCCATACAGCGGCGGATCATGAGGCGATAACGCGGCTCAAAGACGTGGAGGGGACAAGGCACAGTGGGGTACGCCATGGTACAGACAAAGATAGGCACATTCTTCGTCAGGCTACAGAAACAGGACAGAAACAAACCCAGTTAGATTAGCTGAACCTTCAGGAATCTTCTTTTTATTTTATTTAAAAAAGCACAGAGAATAAGGAGAAACTGAGTGGCTTCTTACTCTGACAGCTCTCTGTTCTCCTCCAGGTGTGTTTTTGTCCTCTCTTCATACTCCTTACTGAAAAGCTGTTTAATAAGCACGTCCAAGATGGCCGTCACCACGTATTTCCTGCATGCTAGAAACTGAGGACAAGCAGGCAGACGTCACAAAAAGGCAACATGGAAGTAAAAAGGCTCTTAAAGAGATTTCTGGTGTTTTCTTAAAGCTCACCTCTCCTAGACTCTCTTTGCAGAGCGGACACTGGGGAGTGTGGTCCAAGCAGCGCTCCAAACAGTTTTTACAGAAAGTGTGGCCGCATGGAGTCGTCACCGGCTCGTAGAACAACCTATAGTGGTCAGTGAGATGTTATCAGCAGCTGGCCGATAGACAGGCGGTGTGTATGAGGCCCGCGGGTTGGTACTGACCTCATGCAGAGGGAGCATTCAAGGTCATTGGCGTCCAGCAGATCCTTAGGAACACTTCTGCAGGTTTTTGCTTTGGCTGATTTATGCTTGGAGCCTTTTGAAACACCTTGAAGAAAATAGAAAAGATCTTTATTCATCACAAATAAACAATGCATTACAATTATATTCATTCATTAAACCTTTTCTATTTTTTTTTTTTTTTAGATTAGAATCACACAACTATGTAATTTATTTGTTTTTTAAGTAATCTGTTTTGTTACTAATGTTCCGTGGAAAAACAACAAACTCTGACAGCTTCACAGACCAGCTGGCAATATGGCAAATTCAAGATGCTCTATGTCAGGGGTAACCAATTAAAAATCAGCCGGGTCCAAACAAAGAAAAATCAACAACCAGTTAAGGTCCGGAGACATTTTTAATTATTATTAAACAGAACTTAACACTGAAATAAAATCAGGTTTTTATGCATTTATGTTATACATAGACTTTTTAAATAAATTTCCCGACCCACATATTTTATAAAACACCTGAACTGAGCGATTGTTTTGTTTTTTCATTTATATGGCTTAATGAGAGCAGTGGGCTTTAGGTGACCTGCAATGCTTTAAACCTGGGTTTGAGTGGGGACAAAACCATTCTCAAACACATATCAAGGTGCTCAATTTGAGCCTGGATCCATATTTATTTGTGATTCTGTTCATGGTGGAGAATCCTGCTTCACAGCAGCAGGTTGAGCCAAACATACTCAAAATGTGCAGAGTCATCTTTGAGCACAGCATTTCACTATTCTTTCACTAGTGCACTACAGTTATTCAGGCAGTCCACACTTTCTTCTGCTTTCTTTTTCTCATCTTCTTCTCCTTCTTTCCCATCACCCTGCTTGCCACAGGTTTGCCTGCTGTGTCTAAAAATAGCTAACAGCAGCAACCCTGACTGACAGCAGCCCATTGGCCAATTTGTATCACGTGTGGCCTGGTGCCGGACGCTACGAATGGCTTTACCATATTAACAGGGGAACCGGCACAAGTAATGTTGGGACACAGTCATCAGACAACATGCGGTCATTTAATAATGTTTTAAATCAGGTTGGGTCCAGATTAGCCAGCAGGTGGGTCCGGATACAGACTGCGGTCCACTAATTCATGACCGCTGCTCTAAGCATCCATTTTATTAAGTTAATGAGAGTGAACAGAGAAATCGTTTCGGAACCAACCTTGTTTCTTATGTTTGCTACTTCCACTGTCCACCACATACGATTCAATGTCTGACACAGACAGCTTCCTCTTCAGCAGACTTCCCTTGTCCTGGTCGCCCAACTGGGGAGCTGAGCTCACCCTCTTTAGCCCCTCTTCACTGCTGTTAGACCCGTGCATTCGCAGCGACTGGGCTCTGCTCAGGCCGGGCCGCTCCAGGCTTTCACATCGTTTCTGGATGAACAAACACGACAGAGGGGAAGAGGAGACAGGGGTTCCTTTGTAAGGTCTTAGCGCAGGAACAGAAGATGGAAGTTAAGCAGCAGGATGATGGGGTTTGTGGGTACCTCCTGGCTGTCCACTTGGTGTGCAGATGCTCCACGGACCTGGTGTTGCTGTGGTTGCCTCTGTGGGAGGGTCTGCGGCTGAGCTGGGGCATCGTTTATTAAATGTTTACTGCGCAGGTGGGGCAGCGTGCTCTGAGTGGTTTCTCTCAGGCCCACCTTAACATTCTCATCAGCAGGTGAGAGGAGGTCACACAAGATCTGGAAGAAAGAATCAGATAATCAGTGGAGCTCAGAGTCACATCTACAAGTTAACAAAAATCTAATGCAATACCCAACCAGGGACTTGATGTGAAAAATAGTTCAGTAGTTATGATCCAACAGCCTTTCTAGATGCTTTATTATTGCATTATGTATATTGCAGACCCTATTCAGCAATAATGATGCCCTAACAAGCAGGAGAACTTAAAATAATTAATAATTTCCTTAGATATGTGTTAAATTAAGCTTAAATATTTGTTAAAATGGGTTTTATTTAGGGATGAAACTTAAGACTTTTTTGCAAATCTATTAATCTGACAATGATTGTTTGATAAACCGATTAATAATCGGATAGCCAAAGGTTCCTTAAAAACGAAATTAAACAAGGTGAAACTAAAAATTTTGCACTTGAGTTCTGGAGAGAACATTTTGACTGACAAAACCTTTTTTCTTATAATAAATTCAAATGTTTATTTATTATTTTGGTATAATTCCTGCTCTAAGGGGGTGCTCTGTCAGCTAAAGGCATGTTTTAGAGTTTCTATCTTTTATTTAATGGTGACCAATTACTAAATTAGTTGGCGATTATTTCCATAATTGATTAATCGGATTAATTGTTTCAGTCCTATTTTGATTTTATAACAATTTATTTTAAATAAAAACTTGGCAAATTGGAATTTGGGGTAAAAATGAAGCAGTTGTTTATAAAATAAAAAAAAATTTTTGTTTCATAAACTTTACTCAAAACAACTGACCGTTTCTTTATAACTTTACAATCATCGGAGAGGAGAAGAGGAAATTGTAATTCGTGCTGCTAAAAGCCATGCAGCGATGACTCTTCATTCCTGTCTATGAATCCATCAGGTTTGCCTCCTAAACAGTCGACTCTCTCAAACAGCAGGCCATTAGTTTGGTAAAAAGAAATAAAACACCATCTCTAACCTTTTAAACACCTGAACATCTAAAAATAGCATAAAATACAACTGCCAACTTTTAGTAGGCCTCATCGGGCTCGTTAACCTTTTCAAAAAAGGAAATAAAACAGTTGGATTTTTGTGAGGTGAGCTTATTATTATATAACTGCTGGTGGAAGAATTGAAATGGGAAAACGTTGGATTTAGGTCAAATGTGCTGCTCTGCAGATGGCCATTTCTAGTCCCGATGAAATTTAAGGCTATCTGTTTTTTTTGCTTAAGCCCCACTGAAATTCTGCCTGATAGTTTCACTTAATGTTGTTAGACTGATGATTCTGCCAGAGAATAACTTTTTCTGTAAACCTTTGAGTCAAATGTGTGCCACTTATGCAACTTCAATGCTGTCTGTGTCCCCGTCAGTAAGTGCTACTAATGTCATTACAGGCAGTCACAAGATCAGACCCACTGACAACTTATGTAATTCCATGACTGATCGGAAAGGCTGAGGCCAATTTGTTAACATTTACAGCTTCGATCAAAACATTTAGACATAACTCCCTTCAAAGAAATGTGAAACTGAGTCTGAACTTGTGATGAACATCTTTTAAAAGACAATCAGCTAGAAAAACAGCAGCTGGTTTGTTGTTCTGATGCGTTAGCAACCTACTAATTCATGTGTTCTTAATAGCTGATTTTCTTAGTATTTATCTCTATATTAAAATAAAAAAATACTGCAAGTCTTTGGTTTAATTACACACAATTATAAAGATTTTGTCACTGATTGTGATGTACAGATGTAATTAAGCTTTTCTTACACTGTTAAACCAATTCAAAGTCATGGTAAGTGCAAAAAAAGCTAAGAGCAATTAGAGCAGTATTAGCTAAGGCAGTACTAACCCCAGGGATAACGACAAACTTAAATTATACTTTGGTAAATGCTGTTGGTTTTGCGTTTCTGCTTTGTGAAAGAAATCCTTTCATTAAAGGGAACTTTGAAAATCCAACATTCCTTTACTTCCAGCTAACTGTTTACTATCCAATTAATCTTGAAAAGAAATCTCAATGTTGACCCACAGAGTCAACCACACTGCCATAATCTTTTAGTAACTTTTGAAAGGGAGGATGCATGAATTAATAAAATCCTCCACTTTCCAGAGGAGGACCACTTCAACAAAAATATAGATTTCAGTCGCTTTTAAAACCCTCAGCCTTGACGGCCAGCACCGATGCGTCATGTTCCAACACCCCCAGCAGACTCCTAAGAACTCTAACCTTTTCCACTTCTCTTTTAGCATCTGGGAAGTTCTCGTCGATGGTCAGGCAGTGGAGGAAGACTTGGAGAGACTCGTCTACCTGTCCCATCTCATACAGCACCACGGCTTTCCTGAACAGCGCCTAGAAGGTTGAGACGACACAGATGCGTTATTACTGTTCCTTTATTCATAGTTAACCAGTCAGTTTATAGGATGGAAAGTGGAAGCCTCTGCACAAGCATCAAGACAACCACATATTAGAGGCTGTGGCCTCCTGTTTGGTTATAATTAGCTTATACCTTGATTTTTTCTTTAGTTAGGAAATACCTTTATTGGCTAAAAGGCTCCTTTATAACATATTAGGACCCTCCAGGGACCTAACTATTAGTGTGCTTTTGAAGAGTGGTTTATGTTTAGCTGCATTGCTTTATTCAGCCAGCGGGGGCAGTAGCCAATGAAGGGGACTTTTCCAATGTTGTTTTTCATACCCAACGCTTGTTATAAAATACATTTAAAGTAGTTCTTAAGCAAAAAAGCACACCTCAATGCTTCATATGTGTATCAAGATAATCACTGAAATCTGAAATATGTTTTCAGGTTTTCAGGTTTGTGGTCAAAACCCACAAATGCCATATTATAAACACAATGATTTGTAAAAAAGTTTTGAGACTGTTGGGTAATGTAGATATTAATTCTTACCCGTTTTCACTGTTTACTAAATTAGGTCTACATGAAAAGCCTTTACAAGGAAAAATGAATCAGATCATTACTCCAAATATTTTGTTTTTTAAAGTGTGTTTTAATACACATTTTAAATTTTCATGATTCTATGCTGACGGCGCTGCGTGTGCGGATCCTACCATCGCCTTATATCCACAGTCTAGAGCTTCTACTTGATATATTTATGTGCTGATTTAGACATAGACTTTAACAAATAACACGTTGACTAAAACCCTTTTTCGGCTGTAGATATCTGAGATTTATCTGGTTATTAGAATAAAATAACTGAAAAATAGTTTTTAACAGTAATTTAAATGAATCAAACAATTATAAAGCAGCTCTGACCAGATGCAGTTTGATAACAAAGATAAACTTTTTAGGCCTGGGGATTTACTTATATCTGGTCGACACTGGAGGTATAAGAAAAAACACTTCTATGTTCTTATTACTGCCACCCGCTGGACTGAAGTTGTAGTGCAGCTTTGACTGATTAATTGCGTTTCTTATTACCGGGGTGATACAAATCCTGGGGCTTTGAGTGGAAAAGTGACTTACGATAAGATTTAAACCCATTTTGTTTTATGGTGTGGCAAGAAGAAAAAAAAGAGGTCAAGAAGTTAATTGTTCATATAGTTCAGGATTTCTAAGTTCTGGTCCTCGAGGTCTGGTTTCTGGCTCCCTGCCACAACTGAATCAAATAGCTGATTTACCAGCTCAGCATGCAGACCAGTTCTCCAGAATCCTGCTAATTAGACGATTATTTGACTAAGTGCAGGACAGGAGCAAAGGAACCCTGATGTAATTATTTGTTTAAGTTATTAGTGGGATGCATACTTCAGCAGAATAGCTGGACCTGGAACAGAATTCAGCATCCTCCAAAGCCAGCTGGTACTGCTTGAGAGCTGCATACGCTTCTGCTCGGGAAAGACGAACCAAAGTCATGTTTGGATCTGTAACGAAAAGGGGAAAAAGACAACAACAGATCAGCATTTAGAAATGTTTCTCTATGTCAAATGCACAATCTTTACATTGATTTGAGAGAAAAACTGAGAACAGCAGGAGAATGGGTACCAACATCAAAATAAAACCTGGATCAGGTGTTGCTTTGATCAGCTCTGACTGTTCTATAAAATATTCTGTTTTCTTTCTCACAGGGTTGTTAAACTGTGAGAATCTTCTACCAGCCAGAACCTAATAATAATAAAGATATATTTCCCAACAAAAGCATAATGATAACATAAAGTAGTTTGTTAAATTTTGCATTTTAGAAAGTGAACTGAGAATATAGTTCTATTCATTTACCTAAGAGGGCTTCCTACAAGACATACTGTATATTAGATAACCACTTTGTACGAATGAATTATCTGCAAACCTCGGAGGAAGAAAGACACCTAAGTTGATGAGTTTCTGTGTAGTTGCCTCCTTATATATATATATATATATATATATATATATATATATATATATATATATATATATATATATATATATATATATATATATGTCATAATTTTGTAAAGATATACAGATATGATTTATACTACAAAAACAAAAAATATGAAAGACTAGCTTAGTTACTCATCTTGCTCAAACAGCATTTTTATCAAAATCCATTACAGCATAGATTTATAGTGGTTTTGCTCCTTTTACCTCATAAGCAGATGAAAACAGGTCTATTAACCATCATAATGTCAAGAGGCACTTTTTATCATGAGCAAGTTTCTGGTCACTCTTTGTGTTTGCAACAGTAAAAGGCACTTTTTAAAAGCTTAAGGTATGTATTCAATTAAAGCTTAAGTCGAAGACATATCTGTCAGTCTGTATGAGCTAGAGAAAAAGTTAAGAGTAGCAGTGGCAAAAATATATTTATTTTTATTGATCAATTAATTAAATGGAATGTAATAAATATTCAGAAAGATTACCAATGAGAATGAAAAAAATAAAACGGTTTTAAACAATTTCAAGTACTACAGTGACTTAGGGCGGACATACAGTATATGATATCTTCAATCTTTGTACTCAGCTACAGCTCAGACTGTACGATGAGTTTAAAAGTTCACAGTTTACGATGTATATTCTTACACTGTATGGCCTGATGCAATCTACATGCTCACAATGCACGTCCAAAAGCCAAAAGTCCGACTCAGCGCAGAGACATGGCACTGTTCGGACTGGTCAATCTCAAAGCCAGAAGTGGAATCCTCCTGTTTGCACATGTGCAGTGCGTGAAGTTATGGTAAATCGGCTCGTAGCTCTGCTTCAACAGCAGGACTCGCTCACAAACACCTCACGACAGCCACCTGAATTTCAAAAATGTTTGACTTTCTACCAATCTTATGATTCCTGATCGGGAAGTGGTCATGAGTGACTAATCGCCCCTTGCTACCCCCTGCACACTATACGATGCAGGACCTAAAATGAGGCTGAAACTTGGCCAGATCGGAAAAAACTGAGATCATTAACATGGAGGCGAAACTCCTAGTCAATCGCATTCCACCTGCTAAAACTAGATTGAATAATTTTGCTGTGTTACCATTACAAAGGTATTAAAAGTTTATAACTAGACCTCTTGACTGGAGTTATTTTTTTTCTTGTATGAACTAATTAAGACTGCAAAATATTGAAAAAAACCTTGTTCTAAACATTATTTCAAAGCATCTTAGGTATCGCCTACAACCCTTCTCCAACATCCATTAAGTGGATCATTACCAGGCCTCTGCTGAGCTGAATGACCAGCTGAGGGACTTCAGATGTTAGATGATGGTGTGTTGGAGAGAGATGCGGAAAAAAATAAAAAATAAAAATAGTAGCAACATGTGCTTTAGTAATTACATTATGTACTGGTCCTTGATAAAAAAGAAATACATACCGGTAAATAAATAAGACAAAACAACTTTAGGTTCAGGGCATTAACAGTCCGAAACAATATTGGACCCTTACTTGCAACAAAAGACAAATATTTATTCTTATCGTGGTTTTACTTATTTGGGTTAATGACCAACTTTGACACCAGATGATGAGGAGCCCCTCTTTATTTGTTTTACTTTTGAAGATGCTTTTGTATTATTCCTGCTATTTTTTCAGAAAAAAAAGACCTAATCTTACCACTTTACCTGGTTAAACACATTTGTTGGGCTTTTATCTGTTTTTAGAGATGTAGCACTTGAAAGCATGTTAAATATATATGGTTACTTAACATTTATTGCAGCTAAGTTATGACAAAGGAGACAGCCATGGCTAAAGAGTCAGTCAATGGCAAATTCCTTAAATAATAATTACTATTATATTGATCGATAGATGATAGATATAATTACGGTATTATCATTTAAGGAATTTGTCATTGATTAACTTGTGAGTTGTCTCCTTGAACCCCAGTCGGCCTCGGCAGATGACAGCTCACACTGAGCCTGGTTCTGCTGGAGGTTTCTTCCTGTGAAAAGGGAGTTTTTCCTCTCCACTGTCGCTACAAGCATTATCAGTGTGAGGGATTACTTAAGAGTCAATGAGTCCATGCAATCAGCTGGTTTTCCTTAGATAGAAAACTTTGAATCAATTTGACTATGATTTGGTGAACTATAAAGTGCCTTGAAATGACATGTGTTGTGAATTGGCGCTATATAAATAAACTGAATTGAGCCATTGTCATCTCCTTTGTCATAAGTTAGCTTACGTGCTACATTTTTTTAACAATCATTGAATTTATATTACTCTTCATTTTAACAATATTAAACCATCAGTGGTTAAGAAAGGCTTTACCTTTTTTGATTTAGTTTCTATTTTTAACTTGATTCATCAGATGTTTATTGAACAAAAAAAAAAAAGTTTCCAGTCTTGCATAATGTTCAACAGAAGCTTTATTTGCTGCCTCCGTGTGTGTCCCCAAATTACTGCTGGACCTCGGCTTCATCCCTTTGGAAACCATTTCTGAATGTAACGCGGGACAATTACAAAATAAAATGACCCCCCCTCCCAAGCAGAAGTTACAAAACCGAACCCATTCAAGTGTCACGACCTGCCTTATGCAACGTATTCCCGGCGCGCATGCGCACTGCGCTCCAATTTCGTAAGCAAGGCCATGCAGACTGGAGGCAGCAAAACACCAGTAGTCAGCTCCAAGTATTTTTCAAAAATATGTCAGTAGAACACTCACACTTTACCCCCCTCTAACAACACAATGTGTTTTGGTGCGAAACATACTAGTATGTTCAACTTTATGTAACTCAAATAACAATGTTTCTACCGAGACACACCTTTTTTTCTTTTCTGACTTCCAATGTTTTGAGAAAAAGCCACTCACTCACCTGAACGGAGAGCACCACTCGCTAGCGACACGGCTTCGTTGTAGCGTTTCCTTTCGCATGACGCCTCCACTTCTTGTAACGTTTTCAACTTTTTCAGCTCGTCGGGGAACCATTTTTCTAAAAGTCCACAGAGAGCTACGTTGGCTTTCTCCTCGCCCCCAACGGGCTCGTCGCAGAGTTTACACTTGGAGACGAGCCGCCTCTGTAAACACCTTTTGCAGTACGAGTGTCCGCAGGCGACGGTCACAGGTTCGCCCAGAAAGCCGTGGCAGTTGGGGCAGTCGAACACCGAGGAGTCCCCAGGATCTTCAGCTCGGTCCGGACTTCGGCCCGCTGAGGACTCTGGCCCAGGGGCTTTCCTCTTGAAGTTACGGAGGATACAATCCACAAAAGTGCTTAACTGCTCGGGACGAACCGGGCCGTAGCGCATCGCGGCTGAAAACCAGTCGATGGCCTCTTTGAGACAGTCCTCAGATGCCAAAGCGTTACCTTTCTGTAGTATAAGTTCATGGTGGCCCTCCTCCTCCTCCTCAGCGCTGATGAAGAAAGCGCTTTTCTCCTCCGCCTGCGGTTTCAGCGCCATGACAGCATTGAATCGCTTTGTGAAATGCTATGTGAACCTGGCTTTTCTTCTGTGACCGTGTTTATACATTTCGATAGCTGCCGCGGTCCCTGGCAATGTAGTGAACGGCTTTTCCTCATAGATGCCCCGATTGTTACATAAAAAAAAATAGAGATCACGTGAGCAGCAAACTCGCTCCCTGATTGGTCAGGAGGGAGTGCGTTACAAAACCTGCGCAGGACAGTTTCATAACTGCGAAAGAGACGTATTGAAGATTTAAAGGCGTCTGCGCCATATATTAGATATTTTATCAACCTCAATATTTTTTAAATAAACTTGAAATGTTAACTAACAATCTGTGTAACGCTGATATTTTAGTTCCTTATTGACAATTCAGCCATCATTCGTTTTGTAATGTGATTTTATAACACGCACCTATTTCTTTATTATTCTGTAATATATGCGAATTTATCCTTATGTAACTTAATTGATATTCCACGGTCTGTGTAAAGCCCATCATATAATTTAACGTTTCTTTGGAAAAAAAAAAAAAAACTTATGTAACTTTAAAAAAAATCACATTGAGCTATGAATTTTCCCTCAATTTCATACATTTCATGCCTGCAATTTGATGGTTATCCTAAACAGTTCAACCAAAAATGCATGTAAGTCATAAAATATACATGGAAAAACTACAGTAACACAGTTCCATTGTTGTTCATCCTAATTTTATTGATGCGTATTAATTTCAGCTTTCACTCTTCTAGAAATATAACATATATCTCATCTTTGTTAACTCCATCTCCATGAAAATCAATCAAATTGTCCTTGGATTGCTCCATGGATTTTCTATAACAATTAGACCCAGAGTCTCCCAAAACACAGATTGTTTAACACTCAACACTGCCTTGTTGGTGTGAAGATTCTCAGTCATCCAGGTCATTGTCATTCCAAAAAAAAAAAAATTAAAAACAATCCACTGGACTTGGTTTCCAAAGACCCCTTCGTCTGCTCCAATTTGCATGTTTTCATAAAAAAAAACAAGGCTTTGTTGGGCTACTGTAAAACCTTGAACTCAACACTATTCCTGACAATATGAGTTGAAAAAGCTTCTTGGATGGGAAGTGAAACATCTTCAAACTTGGAAACCAAGTCCAGTGGATTGTTTTTCATTTTTTTGGCAGACCTTGTTGTGTACTTGGACTAATAGTGTTAAAAGATCAAATTCAGCTCTACTTTCTTGTTAAAACTTTTAAGGTTTAGGTCACAAGTAACTGATATTGCTCCTTTTTAAATTCCTTGAAGGGATACAAATAAAAAAAAGGAGAAAAAACGTTTTTAATTAAGGAAAATAAGCGCAGATTCTTGATATAGTGATCTTAATAATATTTAACTTGAATCTACCGTCAATCGACTGGCCTTTATGATGATTTTCTGCTTTGTTCCCAATCATTTTGTTCAAACCTGACCGAATATGGGTAAGGTTTATATCTTAACACTTTGGTAATGTGATATAAATATCTTAAAAAGAAACATTAAAAACACAAAAATGTGTGTACCTTTTCTGAAATAAAAAAAGGGCGAAAAACAAATCAAAACAAAGTCTTTCTTGTGGTAGTGAGTTTGGAGACGTCATAAATGAATGATAATCCCAGTTAAAAATTCTCCCAATGCAGCTTTTTTTCTGGATTTTTTTCAAAAGAAAAATCTTTAAAATAATCAAGCAAAAAATATAAAATAATTAAAAAATATATTAAATTCAATTCAGTTTATTTATAAAGCGCCAATTCACAACACCTCGAGGCACTTTACAATTCACCAGATCATACAGTCAAATTGATTGAAAGTTTTCTATCTAAGGAAAATAATCTTCAGAAGCCAGGCAGCGACCTGGCTGCCGCCTTTTAGACAAAAATAGCAGCAGTGCCTACAAGAGGGAACACTTTAGGATAGAGACATCAAGGGAGCATCCAGAAATACATATGGAGCCTAGGCGGAAGTTCAACTAAATAAACTGGTTATTCGCCTTCATTCGCCTACGACACATCCAATCGGCTTTGAACTGCGCCTCCACGAAGGTCGATCAGCATCCAAAGTTAATCTTAAAAGGCCCCCGATCCGCAACACGTGTGCTACCTAGTGTGCAGGTGGTGCTGGCGCCATGTGACTTCATTCAGATGTCCCCGTTTAGACCCACCTTCTTCACAATGGGGAGTTTTTCCTCTGCACTGTCGCTTCATGCTTGATCATCACGGACAGGTTCTTTCAACCTGTATTATCCAAACTGGACTTCCATCTTCCAGGTCCCTGAGTGAAGCTCTAGTATGCACTGCAAAAATAGAAAGTTATTTTTTTCTTAAAATAAGTGCATTTTCCTTGAATTGAGGATGTAAGTGAGACAGTTTGCCAATGGAACAAGACGATATCCTTTTAAAATAAGAAAAAACAATGTTATTGTCTTATTTCAAGTGCATATTATCTAACTATCTTATTTTAAGAGTAAAAATACTTGTGCCATTGGCAGATCATCTTATTTACCTGCTCAAATTAAGGCTAAATATACTTAATTTAATAATTTTTTACTTATTTCTGGATCGTTTTTGCAGTGTGAGCTCACACAGTCCACTGGATCTCCCCAAAAAGCTCAGCATACCGTCTCGCTAACCAGCAGTCTACAGACTGACCAACTTCATCTGTCTCCACTCCACCACCAGTTTCAGGCCTGGGTGGAAAAAGCCCTGTTCTTTGCTCCTGTCCATGCATATCTATTAAAATTCAGCGCTATGTTTCCTGCCGAGGTCTGAGTGCCAAATACTAAGTAATTGTATCAGTACATTTCTTCTAAATGTCTTTTTCTCCGTGTGAGTTTTTCAGATTTCCATAATCTAAGTTTGGAGTAAGACAGAATTGATCTGAATATATATATAATTTTAATTTTTTGCTGTTAAGGTATTTTAAAGGAAAAACTATATACATATATATATATATATATATATATATAATAGATAATAATAAATGATTTTAACTTTTAGAAATAAAATGTAAAAATTAAACAACCTCATTAAATTGCACGTTATATTTATTTGTAAGGACTGCTAAATTGATAAATATTATTTTGAATGTAATCTATTCAAAAGGCTAGATATGTCTAACATATTATTTATCGATGGGACTTTGTCACATCACATGCCTCTAAATAAAACACCAAAAAACGTCCATCCTGGTAGTGTTTACATAGTTATTTTTGATACTGAAAACAATTGCTGAGTTCGAATGCAGGGGGCTGCGTCCTCCGAAGGTTTATGTCGTAGCGCGGCGGCGATGCCTATGCAATGAAAAAGTTCGTATTCATTCTTTTCTTGCTTTGTGTGTCAACTGTCATGTTTGTTAGGCAACAGAGCATACCGGCGGTGAAAGCAGGGAAGGCTGGACCTGTCTGAATTCACAGCCAAAACTCTTCCGGTCTCCTTATTTTCAACGGACCTCGAAGGATCCAGTCCAGATAGACCGGGTCCTTGGAGGATGCAACCTTTAAAATCGAACACCCCTATAATTGCACCGAGCATGATCCAAATTCATGTATGTACGCTGTTGCCATCTGTTAGAAGTACTTCCTCATGAAAATCACATAGCCAACTTTGAGGTCTAACCTCCTGCTTCAGTGAACACCAAACATTCATGTTGTATTCCCAGTGCCAATGCTCTTATCTCTTTTGGCATTAGTTATGTACTGTGTTTTTCATACTCATTGACTTTTCCTTTTTATCCACACCTTTTTTACCAAACTACACAAACCACAGAGCTTCTGGGAGAATGTCCTACGGACAAATGAACAATAGTGAAGCTTTTTGCCAAGGCACATCAGCTCTAAGTTCACAGACGTAAAATGAAGCATATTAGAAAAGAACACTATCCCTACTGTGAAACATGGATTATGAATTATGAACATTTGATTTATCTGGTACACTGTATATATTAAGGTTACCCTCTGTAAGACACCATGAATCTCAGTACTATGAAGGGATTCCAGAGAGAAATGTGCCAACTAGAGTCAGCCAACTTGGGCTCAGTCACAGGTCATGGTTTTGTGACAGGTTAATGACACAGCTAGAAATAGCCAAGAAAGGGTAAGAGGAAAACATCAGACTACTCTGAAGTGGCCTTCTATGAGCCCTGACCTAAATCCTATTGAGCACATTTGAAGGAGCTGAAAAATGTCGCCTGGAAAAAGGCACCCTTAAACCTTCAACACGTGAAGAGGTGTCGACCAAAAAAACCTGCTGAGAGGAGCTAATTGACAGTTACAGGAATCGACTGATTGCGGTGATTTACTCAAAAGGGTGTGCAAAAATTATTACCGTAAGTTAAAGGTATCATCATTTTATCCAGGCCTGTATAATTAGATATTTTTAAATCATTCTTTTGAAGTATGGTTAAAAAGCTTTATTTGACTTTCATTTGTTCATTTTTTATATATAAATTGTATTAATTATTGTTTTTGTCATATTCAAGTTATGTCTGTGACCATTATAGTCTTTTCTTTCACTAAACAAGGTTTATGAACAATTTTGTATATGTGTTTGTCATTGTCCAGGTGTAAATGTGCCTTCTTTTTTTGAAAAGCTAGAATCAGACAAGTAGGTTTTTCACAAAGGAAGAAGGTTCTCATTTATTCAGTTCAATTCAGTTTATTTATATAGCACCAATTCAAAACATGTGTCATCTCAAGGCACTTTATAGAGTGCATAAGGGCTTGATTTACATTTTGCATTGTTAAAAATGGAAAAAGTTAAATCTTAAATTCCCAAAGATTATCATCTTTGGGAACTATATAACTATATCGAATAACCAAAAAATACTCATAGAATAATTATTCTTATAGTTATTCTATAAGAAAAATAAGAAAAATCCAGTTTAATGTTTAATGGTAATGATAGGAATAAATTCATTATTTCTAGTTTAAATATCTTTTATTTGAGCTACAGCATTTAACATAAATTTGATGTTTAAAAAAAGTATTTATGAATTGCATTACCTTGGAATTGATTATGCACAATGTATGAAAAACAAAAGGAAGCTCCAGTAGTAGAAAGAAGTCATGATATGTGCGGCATAAAGAATGATTTTGCTAAACTGGAAGAAAAAAAGAGTTCCATCACATTTACAACTAAGGTATGTAATCTTGAAACACCTAGGGATGTAAAAGATAAAGTTATCTCTTAAAAGTCAGGAAGAATGGTTTGAAAACCTGTCATTGATCATTGTGGGGTCAGAACTTGATTAAGATCAGATGATGTCAGATAATGTTTATCTCTTCCCCATCCCTGTCTCCAAAGTTAATTTCTCTTTTTTTTTTTCTTTTGTGATGGGGTTTGTGTGTACTGTATGCATTTATACAAAGATTGTGATATTTGCACGTATAGACAACTTTGTATGTATGTTTATAAACCTGTTCTCTTTGTTCCCATGGGTATATTCCAGCAGTGCACCTCTCTCAGTTGCCATCTTGTTATATTTAAACAATGAAAGACCAAATAAACTGCTATATTGACACAGACTGAATGTGTGCTAATAGGTACTCAATCGAGCATTTTATTTCTTTTTATTTCACTGCCATTATTGAAAAGTATAATAAAATACAGTTTTCAGAACAAACTCAACTGAGGCACAGCTTCATTTAGTAGAAGAATGGAAACATGATTGGCTGGCAAAAGTTCACCAATTAGGGGAGAACATCTAAGTTATGACAATGGAAGTAAAAAGAAGCATGCCATTTAAAAGCACTTTGTTTGAAGTGGTGCTGCAATTTTGTTTATATACAAGCCGAAAAACAAAACAGATCAACAACAAAGCATGGAGAGATACTAAAGCATCTGAGCATCTAGCTCTTTAGTTAATAGTCCCATATTTTGCTACTGTACATTTGAGAATAAAAACTGTTAACACTAAGGCTCCCAGAGCATGATTTTGCTGTTTTTGCAGAAAAAAAATCATCTCAGATTAGCAGACCTTAACAAAAATCTCCTTATTCAGCTCTCCTTTGGACAAGGTGTTTTGGCTTTACATGCTTCTGTCATCCATAAGGCCGTGCCCCCACAACCCGTAACCAGGACAACCAGGAAGACTTAGTAAAATTAGCGACTTGGAGCCCTGAACAATTGATTAGATAAAAGCTGTAGCTTGACCGATGACATACACGCTGCTCTGTAAAGCTTATTTCCCCATATGACATCATAAAGGGAAGGGTTTTTAATATTGAACTGATCTCACGCAGCCAGAGGTATATACATTTTTGGGTCAGATTCTTGTATTACTGCAAATGGGTGGTCCGCTTGAAAATCATGGAAGTCTTTCCTGGTGAAAAAAATAAATAAACAAAAACAAGGTTTAGCTGTTTTTATGTAACACCATCCTGGAGGGAGGGATCAGTGGGGTTGCTGCCATCAAAAACTGCTGATGACTGATGATAGACTTGGACCTGTTTTTAAGTGTATGGTCCTGTTTGTCGCCTAGACTTTCCACTGTATAAACGGAGTTATCTCCTCTCCACTCTCGAATGTATGAGGGATTGCTACAGTGTCAACATCATTATCCAAACAAATGTCTACTGTTGTTACATGCTCATCCAGGAGGAACGGATTCTGAGATGACATTTAGTGAATTTGCACTCTCTCTCTCTCTCTCTCTT